AGAAAAAAAAATATTTTTTTTAGAACACGACATCCACGACTAAATCTCTCCAACACCTAGAAGCAAGACATTGCCCAAGGGCCCCGATCTCCCTGCGACACAGCAGCAGGTTCCCCCACCAACATCCTGCCCCTCCGGCAGCTCAGCCAGGTCCCGCTGCTTCAGGGGATGCTCACCGGTCTCGCGGGAGCAGCCGGACGCTTTGTTATTTGGCCTGCAGCGGACCCAAGGCATTCCCATCGCAGACTGGGAGCCCAGGGCCGGCACACTGGAGTCACACAGCTCCGTACGCTCCAACCCGATGCCATAACCCTGCCAGCTCAGCTATTTCCAGCAGTGATATGAAGGACTGCAGGAGCTGTCTGACTTCCCGCACCTCTCCAGATGAGTCTTTTCCAAGTGATGAATTAACAACACTTGGAAGGCGCTGGAAAAAAACAAAATTTGGGAAAAAAAAAAAAAAAAATCACAAAATAAGTGACTGATGCTGCTGGCTACCCTACAGCAAGGTATCAAAGCAATGAACGAGGTGCTGCCTAACCTGAAGCAGGTGGGACTGCCCCGACCACGGTTTCTCCCATCGGCAATGGCCCCGGTCACAGAGCCACAATGCCTGCACAGATCCAGTGCTCCGACACCGGGGCCGGAGGGAGAACTCCTACCAGCACTTTTGCCATTCTCTACAAATGTAGAAGTAAATATAAAAATACATGAAATTAAACTTTATTATAAAAAAGAGTGTAATACCAAGCGTCAACTGCAAACTCTTTGGAAACAGCTCCCTGTCTCGTGCCTTTCTGTGCTCCAAAAGAAAAGCACTTGAGTACCTCGATGCCTTTACCATGCCTCCAAGCCAGACCCGACATTTACCACAAACCCTCCCAAGTCTTCCCACCCCAGGGGAAGAACACTGCAAGACAAACCTTATCCATCATGCTGAAAAAAAGACCAGAGAATGGTTTGCCAGCCAGGGGGGAAACGTTTTGTCCTGTGGATGGGGAAACTCTCTCCCTTTTTTGTGCTGCTGCAAGAAGTCAGACATGAAATACAAATTTCTGGAAAACACGAAGAAGAAGAAAGTTGAAAAGCCTTGTAGCAAAGCCATCAAAAGCGGTAAGAGATACTCTGCCTTTTGTTTGCGTGATGGAGCGACTGTGGCTTAACATGCTATTGCATACCAGCTAAGCTGTGGCAAGTCATTAAATCACAGCAAGTCTTCTCGCAGGCTGGAGACCCAAGCGATCAGCGAGGGGTCCCTGTGAACGCAATCATCTAATAGGGAGCAGTTTCCACCAAAGCCCGGTCTTACAGGCTGATAAAAATTCTTGGCTAATTCATTAAGGCACTTACGCTCGCTCCTGACTTGGAACACGTGTAGGTATGTGAACAGCAGAAAACACTCAGCAAGAACACATGCCAAAATGTCTATGACAGCTGTTAGTACCTCCTGGCATGCAAAAGTAAAATAAAGCCATTTTAATTATATTTTATTCCTGAAAGTCTGACTGTTAAAGTTACTGTTGGATGACCCACACGAAAAGTCTCCACTCACAAAAGTGGCACGAGTGGGGAACGCAAGGCTGCTTACGAGCAAGGACTGCAGGAGGGTCAACACTGGTTTAAAGGGCTAGATATGATTACAGGGGGAAACCCAGCCACCGGAGCCTGCATTTGCCATGCCTGCACGTATGAGGATGTGACAAAAGAAAAATCAAATCCAAATTTGAAACGATACCACCAAAGTCAGCCGGAGCACTAACTCAAGGCCAGTTGAGCGCGTGGCTTTTCTACAGGGCCAGTGGATGGAAAAAAAGAAAAAGAAAAAAAAAAAAGATACTCTTGCAGGTTTTGTAAGCCATTAACATTTTTATTTCAAAAGTCAAATAAAGAGCACTGAAGTCGTGACACAGGTTTAATACCAAAACCGCAACTTTGCAATTCCTTCATTATCTTGCCTCAAGCCCTTATCTGATTTTCCAAGAGATTAAGAAATCTTGACACAGCATTTATTGCCCAAGTTAAATTCCCCACAAGACAACATACTCTTTCAGTCACCAGTTTACAGTAGGTTGTAAAACCACCATACAGAGTGGTTCCAGACACTTTACCTTAAAATGGATGACTAGTGCATAGCATTAATGAAAACATATGCTTATGTGCTACAAAATGAGTATTGTATTCCTGGGTTTAAACTATACCATTTGCACTCTTTCCATTTCAAGCTGCCTTGATCTATTTTGGGGGTTTGCTCCCCCATACACCATTATCCACAGTGGTATTGAGTGAATTATTCAATTGTATACAGCAACAAGATTTGTCCTGCAGCAATTACGGCCGTGATGCTCTAACCTCTCCTTTATTCACATGTGACAACACCAAGCCTTCAGCTCCTTCGTATTTCTCTCCTTTCGTCCCTGTGTCGCCGCGCCCCAGCCCTGAACATCAGCACCGCTTTCCCCATCCTGCCCGTTACCTGTGAGCCGCTCTCCCCGAATTAGCACATCCTTCGAACCCCCACCCTGGTTTCCTGCAAGGATGCCACCCTCCAGCTCCCGACCAACAATGCCTTGGAAAATCAGCAGCCAGAGATAACAGATGAGTGTATTTTGTGGATAGATCTGGTTATACAATAACTAATCAAGGTAACGACATGCTTGCAGAGTGCCGATGGCACAGACCTTCCCGTTGCCTTCCTACTGCCCGCAGCATCCGAAGCCCCTCCAGCAGGCAGGAGCCCCACTGGGAGCTCCCGAAACGGGGTCTGGCTTCATCACCCACCATACCAGCTGCAGCACGGTCATCCCTGCAAGCAATGCCAACGTCTGCTCCTCGAGATGGCTTCTTACAGCCACGTCCAAAGTCCCAAGTCCCAGTATGAGCTCAATAGTCTGAAGCCTGAACATCTTCCTCCTTTTTTTTTTTTTTAAAGGAAAAAACCACAAAGTGAAGCTCCTGGAGGAAAGCTTAGTTATCATAAACAACTCTGCTCTGAAGGCATGGCAGGAGTCGGTAAGAAGCCTCATCTGTGCCAACACAAGCATCCCTGGCAGCCAGCCCAAGGTGACGGACCTGTTCCCGGAGCGACCCTGGACCACCTCGTGCTTCACCACCTTCCCTTCCCCGAGCGAGCAGCACCTCTGGGATTTTCTTCCTCTTTACAGAAACATGCTTCACAATAATAAAACCAGAATAGCAACAGAGCAAAACACAGTCCGGACACCTACGAAAACAAATGACCATGGAAACACAATTCAGCCCTTAGAGAGGACAGGAGAAAGAATGAAGCAGGGACAAACATTAGCTGTGGGGTTGAACACAAGTTTTTGAAACACAACAGTAACAAGAGACTTGGAAGACAGTCAGCATTGTTCAGTACATGTGCATACCACACAAGCTCATATATCACCTATATAAAACACGATTGCGTTTTGTGCAGATTCAAATAAAAAGGCAAAGCTTTTAAAAGACTGCTCTTTCTTAAATCCATACTGTATTTTAGCCAAAAAAGTTTCAGAAAGGAAGGCTTTCAGGCTTTAGAAAGGAAGGAAACTCCTCTGTTGCACTGAAGGTTCCACTGACTTTCTTTACCAAATAAAATCAAAAAATTTCAAAAGAAAATCCAAAGAATGGACAATATTAGAAACAGCAATATTGGAAATGGCTTTTTTGTCGTTTTTTGGAGAGGAATGTGAAACAACGGCATCTTTTACAGCATCCTTTACCAGGTACCGTGAGGCTACAACAGCCTCATGAAGCCAGGCTATGGAAGTACATTAAACACCATAAGCCACACGTGGGAAAGCGTTTGGAGAGCTCGGCTTTCCCTGTAAACCGCAGTATCAAAATGTCGGGAAGTCCAAAGTTAGAAGCAAGCCCCAAAGGACAGTTAACTAAGTCACGCGGGTGTGTTTTCTCCTCTCTGCAAGAGGTGTCCTTCTGATTCACGATGAAGAACGGAAAAAGTTTTGTTACTTCCAAGCATTTCTTTATTTAACCCCACTTTTCAGCAACACCAGCAACGTCAAGCCTTGTTTTCCATTATTTTTTTGGACAATTTATTCTTGGTGTGGTCAACTGTGCATAGGGAGTCCTTATCACCTTTGCTAAGGAAATACAAACACTGGCTGTTCGTATAAATCTCCTTTGGCTCGGCAGGCACCAAACAACCAAGATGACAACCTTTAAGCTGTCTGACTGTAACTTTTTTCCTCCCTCAGAGGAAACTTCTTGAAAAGTAACTAGGCTTTAGTTTGTGCTGTTGCAAGGTAAAGCCTACAAATGCATCCAACTACAAAAAAGGAACCCACAGAAACTATTTCTTTTAAGCATCTTTATTTTTAAGCCAAGGTCATGGGCTTTTTGACTTAGCTCTAGAGATGCTCGTCCTAGGGGTAAACAGCATGTTAAGGACCGAAACCCTCTTTTAACCTTAACTCCTAAAAGGGTCCCGACTCCTGAAGGCCAGCATTCAGACATTGGAAAGCGAGCGGGGTTTAACGTGCCCTTAAACGTTTCGCAGCCAAGACCCACAGCCCACCGCAGGGCCAGGCACCCAGATGCTATTTTAAACCTCGATAAGAGGAAGCTCAAAAAAAAAAAACCCCAACAAAAAAAAAACCAAACCCAAAACCAAACCGCCCCAAAACAGAATCTGCTCCTCGAGCAACTTCCAGCCGACCGTCCCTGCTCCTCCGAGCCGGGAAAAACCCCACAGGGCCTCCCGGGAAGGCGCCCACCCGGGGAAGCCCCCACGCACCAGCCGGAGCCGGCTCTTCCCCGTAGCAGGGGGGCCGAGAACCGGGCCGGCAGCCCGGCCCTCACGGAGGCGGGAACCGAGGCGGGACCCCGGAGGCCACCGGTCCCGGTACAACCCGGGGAGGCTCCGGCCACCGGTCACCGCCCGGAGCGGGGCTGAACCGACCGGCGGCACCCGGCCCGGCCC